TGTCTGGAGAGAGGGAGGTCTGGGTCTCTGCTGAGGCTGCTGCCCCCGAGACCTGACCCCGGGTAAGAAGATGGATGGGGTCTGATTCAGGGCTGTAATGAAGTTTTTCAGGACTCTCAGATTTGATCAACACTTATGTAGTTTTAGTAAATGAATGTTTATTTGAAGTCTGTAAGAGTTTGTTTTACTGACAAACATTTAGTAATTGCAGGTGTTTTAGAGATATAAAGCAGGGGGGCAGCCGAGGCTCCACAACTGAAACCTTCAGCTGATGTGAGAATAAAAAGCTGTAGTTCRTCTACAAACAGCTGAAGGCTCACCTGAAGCAGCAGAGAAAACATGACTCAGCACTAAGTCCTCACTCTTCAAAATAAAACAATCATCATGTCAGGATGTTTTATGATAATTTATTTTAGTTTAGTTTCAAACTCCTAAAATAAATGAAGCCAAATATTTATTTGTTTGTTTGTTTGTTTGTTTGTTTATGTTTGATATCAGCTGATCAAATGAAAACAGAAACCTTCCTGGTTTTTTGTTCGTCTCTTGTTTTTCTGAGTTGGAGTTCTGGTGAACTGGACCAGAACCACAGACTCGGTCTCATTTCCTCCCTGTGATGGTTTCAGGTCTGTGAACCCAGGATCCAGTCCCATCCACGCCGGCGTTCCTGGAGCGGTTCTGGAGGACGACGCTGCGCCGCCGCCAGAACCAGGAAGTGACTTCAAGTTGCGGCACGCTCCAGATTCGACAGGCAGCTTCACGCACACAGACCCAGACCAGGCCGAGCTGCCGGACCTGAAGGCCCAGAACCGGCGCCTGCTGCCCAACCTGAAGAACCCGTTCCACGTGATCGACGGGCCGGAGCAGCGCTACTTCATCGGCATCATCGACATCTTCACAGTTTACAGTCTGAGGAAGCGTCTGGAGCATCTGTGGAAGAGTCTGAGACACCCGGGCCGCTCCTTCTCCACCGTCAGTCCACAGACCTACAGCCTCAGACTCTGTCAGTGGGTCCAGAACCACACCAAGTAAAACAAGTCCTGATCAGGCCCAGGAGCTTCAAGCAAAACAAAAACAAAGGTTCCACTCCTCACAGCATGAATAATGTGATCATCTGCTGGTTCTGTCGTGTTTTTATTCAACAAAAACTGACCCAGAATCTCAAAACTGGGTCCAGTCTCACTGGTTCTACAGGACCTGGGAGGTCCAGGATCAGCTGCTGGTCCCCGTCAGGCAGAAAGACGTCAGCAATGACCTCAGAGAGGCAGCTGCCCATCAATATGAGAGGGGTCAAAGGTCATTCAGAGTCCATCACTCTGCAGAGAGAAAGCTGCTGCTTCACCCTGAAGGTCAGACCGTGCAGTGAGCTTAAAGGTCAAAGGTCAGACTCTACAGGTCTCTGGTGGATCAGTTTTTGTTGAATAAATTATGACTCAGTGTTTTTGTTTTTGTTCATCTGGATTCTAAAACCTTTATTTTGAAAGAGCCTGTATTTATTTTTGCTCTTTTTTTCAGTGAATGATCTAACAGCTGAACTTTATTTAATCACGTTTTCTGTGCATCAGGTAACTAAAACAATAATGTTTTCTTTTTTTTTTCATGAAACAAAAGTTTTTGTCTTTAGGGGATATTTTTTTAACTGCTGCTCAACARCAACTTTACCTCGTTTACTCTTCAATAAATATGCAACTGAGTCTGTTTGTGAGTCACCTGCAGCTTCCTGTTCAAACAGGAAACAGCTGAAAGGCCCTGAATAATGATGATAATAGTCATAATAATAATAATAATAATAATAATAAGTGAATGAATAAAAGGCCCTGCAGCTGAAGCTCTGAACAGACCTGAGCTTCCTGTAGAAGTTCTGCAGAATTTTTCTTCCATCAGAACTGATCCAAACCAGCTGCTGACAGGTTCTGTCTTCTGCTCTAAATGTTTTTATTATTCTTGGAGTCTCATGTGAACTCCATGTGATTCATCTTTTCACAAGAAGCACGATGAAAAGCAGTTTACAGAAAGTCATTTCTCCCTCCGTCTGCAGTTTGAACACAGAAACTCCCTCTCATTGCATCATCATCGTCATCCTCAGGCTCCTGCTGCTCGCTTCACGTCTTCCTCTTTTCTGCTTTCAGACACATGACCGGAGGGTTCTCCTCAACACAACCAGAACAGATACAAACCTGGAGAGTTCAGACGTCAGCAGCTTTTCAGGATCAACAAGAGTTATTCTATTTTTAACCACAAGCTGCTTCCTTCCTGCTGAAATGATACAGGATTTACAGAGACGTGAACATTTGGACAGCCTTGTAAATTTACCTGGTTTATCTTTAATCATTGATTGTTTGGATAAAAATCAGTTAAATATATCATATAGGGGACAAACACAGTGATATTTGAGAAGGGAAATGAAGTTATGATTTACAGAAAGTGTGCAATGATTGGTTWAACAAAATTAGGCAGGTGCACCTCTCAGGGTCCATAAAGGGGTCCCCAAGAGTTCTTTTCCTTTGACTGTGTAGATCCACCTGATACCCTTTGGGGTAGCCCCCCAACGACCACCTGGAGTTCTGCAGCATTGGTGGAGGCACATCGCTGCCTTCTTACATTTTAAAGTTACGTCTTTTCCTGTTAGGCTTCCTGATGGACACCAGGACATTTAACTGACTGACAGGGAGGGTTCTACAGCCTCCATCTGTGGAGGACAGTCCACCTGTGGAGGACAGTACCCTCTAACTCTGGAGGACAGTCCCCTCTAACTCTGGAGGACAGTCCCCTCTAACTCTGGAGGACAGTCCCCTCTAACTCTGGAGGACAGTCCCCTCTAACTCTGGAGGACAGTCCCCTCTAACTCTGGAGGACAGTCCCCTCTAACGCTGGAGGACAGTCCCCTCTAACTCTAGAGGAAAGTCCCCTCTAACTCTAGAGGACAGTCCCCTCTAACTCTGGAGGACAGTACCCTCTAACTCTGGAGGACAGTACCCTCTAACTCTGGAGGACAGTCCCCTCTAACTCTAGAGGACAGTACCCTCTAACTCTGGAGGACAGTCCCCTCTAACTCTAGAGGACAGTACCCTCTAACTCTGGAGGACAGTCCACTCTAACTCTGGAGGA